GCCACGCGCCTGGGGCCAGCCACTCCTGGGGGAGCGGGCCGTGCAGCCCGTTGACAAACAGCTGCAACACCTGCACAGGAGCAGATGTGTGCTCAGCAACGTGCAAAATGGCACAACGGTGCTGGCACGGCAAGTCGGCAGGGGACGTTGGAGCAGCAAGCCAGGGCGCATGCCCTTCCTGCAGCAGTGCTGCACCCTGAGGTGCGGGAAGGCGGTGGGCAGCCAGGCTGGAAGCGTGCCGGTCAGCTGGTTCTCTGTCAGCAGCAGGTCCAAGGCTGGCCACTGCTGCTGGGTGGGAGCGGTGGCGCCGAGGGCCGACCACGCATGCGGAAAGCTGCCGGTGATGGAGTTGCTACACAGATCAATGTACCGAAGGCGGCTGCAGTCGACGGGAGGTGGCGGGAGGAGCGTGGATGCAACGGGGACAGCTCCCATTGCTCAACAAGTGCCAGAATCCACTCCAGGCACACGCTCACCTGAGCAGGCCATCAGGGGCCGCCCACTCTTCCGGCAGGCTGCCGGTGAGTCCCAGGTCACGAACCGTAAGGTCTCTCAGGCCTTTTAACCGGCTGAGTGGAACAGTCAGAACCTGCAGCGAGGCTGAAAGCTTCGGTGCGCAGCCCTCTACGTCTGCATGCATGGTGGGACCAGGCAGGTGTGTCAAGTATGAAATAGTTCAGGGCTGGAGGCTGCTCCAAGCTTTGCAGGCTGCCATCAGGAATCGCACTGGTCTGGACCGCAAAACACAGTGCTCACTAGAATTTGTGTACTGCATGCCCAACCGGAAGCAGTTGCTAAGGAGGAAGAAGTTCCGCCGGGCAAGGTCCCTGCACCGCTTGCCGGCGGCGCTTCCGTAAGTTGGACAGCCGAAAAATGGCAAGCCAAGCGTCAGAGTCATTCCTTCCATGCAAGTGTGGATTCATCTCACAGTGACATGATGCGACCCTCCAACTGGCACTCCGTCACAAAGCTCCAGGTGCACGGGTCGGCCTCAATGGTGCTGTTGCTGCCGCTGCCCCAGCCGCGAAGCTGGATGCCATACTCCCCCAGCCTGTCCCATCCAGTGATTGCCGCTTTAAAATCCAGGAGAGCCGCCACTGCAGGACGTGGCACAGCAGTCGGCTGTGCTTAGAATGGCTGCCGCCGTGGCGGCACCAGGGCGGGACCCACCCCTGCAGGGGACGAAGTGAAACCCGTCCCCTGCGGCGCGCACCTTCCTCCGGGTACCGCGCTGCGCTGTCCTGGGCGGCATAGGCCCGTAGGTGGGCCGCCAGGGCCGCCAGCTGCACCAGAGCTCGAAGGGTAGCCCAGCCCCTGGCGAGGGCCAGGCGGCCGGTCATTATCGGCTCGGGGAGAATTTCAGGTCGCGCATGTCGCTAGTGCAACCGGCTCTTTGCCAGCCGATGATGTCGAGTCCCCCGCCGCCAGCAAGGCGGGCCGACAAGCGGGCGCAGGCAGTGAACAGACAGGGATTACAATGCATAGAGGCCAGGTGAAATGTACAAACAACAGAAGATATCTACCAGAGTATACTGAAGTGCAGTACCATGAGCAGAGTACATGCAAACAGGTAGCGGTGCCAAAGGGCTGTAGCTCTGAAACAAAAATGGACAAAAGACTGCGAAAGGTATCATGCTGCATTCAGCAGGGGCTGCTCCAGGTCGGCGGCCTCAGGGCTGCCATCTGCTGCTTCGCCTGCCCCTCCTGCTGTCCGACCAGCAGCATGCCGCTGCTCCGCTTCCTCCCCTTCCTCGCCATCCACCAGCCCGCCTCCCTCCACTTCCAGCACCTCTCGAAACCTGGCTTCCCTGCCAGACTGGCAGAGAGCCAGTGCAAAAAGAACAGTAGACACCACCAGCAGGCAGGTGCAGATGCACATGCTCAACCGCCAGTTGTTGAGCTTGCTCTGCAGAGCGGCAGGAAGCAGCGGCCAAGCAATCTAGACACAGAGGCAAGATGGAACCCACCCACTGCACATCCAAAGTCGAGAGGCAGCGTGCAGCGGCAAGTTGCCTACAGCCAGCACACCTGCAGCCAGCCCAGTGCAGGTGGTGACGGAATGTCGCCTAAGGCATGCTGGACAAACTCCGCGGCCGACAGCGCAAATGGGCGCAGCTCGGGACGCGGCACGCTCCACATCAGCACGGCATTCACCGGCGCTGCCATGAGGAACCTGCCAAGGGCGGCAGGTGGCCAGGCCAGCTAGGGGGTGTGAGCGAGGGGCAGGATGGAACACAGCCGGTGGTGCTCTGCTACTGAGCTGCCGATTGCAGGGAGCCAGTTCCCATTTTGCAGGCAGCCACACTCACATGGCAAGCTCGCCGCCCGCAAAAACTGGGCCAAACCACGGCATGGTCTTGGCTGCACCAAACCCTGCCATGACCAGCACGCAGCCGCAGCCCACGCCGCCTGCAGCCAGGTTGGCGCAGCCGTGCGGTGAAGGCGGCATGGACAGGAGCGCTCGTACGAGCGCTTCCGTCAATCTGAAACCAAATGGGTTGCCAAAACAATCAAGCGCACCTGTGCACAGTAGCAGCGCGTTGCGGACTGAGGCTCCCATGGAGTCCAGGGCCAGGCCGCCACACAGCGTGCCCAGCACGCCTGTCAAAACCGTGATGCCACCAAACAGGAGGTCGGCCGTCTCGGATGGCAGGTCGAAAATTGCGCGGGCGGCCTTTGGGCCAAAAAAGGCGTAGCAGCCCAGGCTGCCATTATAAGCTGCCAGAGCCAGCATCGTGGAAATGCACACGCGGCTTGCAGCCAGCTCGCGGCAGTCGGCCAGAAACGCCGCCAGCGCCTTGCCGGCGCCGGCTGGGCCGCTGCCTGGCGCCACCGCTGGCGCTGCTGCCTTGCTGCTGGCGCGGAGCTCCACCGGCGATGCCAGCAGGAGCGCCCCGGCAAAGGGCAGCATGGCTGCGGCCTCTATGCCAAACGCAGCACGCCAGCCCAGGGCGGTGCCCACCTGCACCCCAGGCGTGTACCAGTGGTTGCCCCCCGCGGCGAGGCAGCTGGCACCTACAGCAAGTACTCTACATTCCCAACACTCACCAGCCCGCCATATAGGTAGCCAACGGCAAATCCTGTAGGAATGCACAGAAAGAAGGAGGACAGCCAGAGGGACTTGCGATCCGGCGGCGCCTGGTCATCTATCAGAGGAGCGGCCAGTGCAATGAAGGGGCCGCATGCAGCGCCCACCAGGAAACGGCAGAACAGCAGGAAAGGGAAGTTGGGGGCGGCAGCGCAGCCGGCAGCGCCAAACACCCACAGGCTGCAGAGCGCGAGGGAGGCGTAGGGTGGAGGTCATGCCGGCAAGCATGATCTGTGAAGCAGCTTGGGCATGCAGCAGAACCTCAACCGAGCTGCAGCGCATTGAGGGGCGCCGGCTCGCCTGAGGCCCGTGCCCATGAGCTTGAGCGCA